GGGGGGTGGGGGGGGGGGTATCTCCTCGGCGGCTAGGTCGTAAGGTGATGGAGAGATTTCGGGTGTTGAGCGTGTAAGTGCCGTTGTTGTTTCTCTACATCTAGGGCAGTGCACAAGCAGGTGTATCATACGCTCTCTGTTGATGCGCTAGAAAGGAATGCGGGACACAACAGCTCCAATCTCTGCCGGCGCAAACGTTGGTCCGCGTTGTGCGCTGTCTCTTAACGGCAAGCTGAGAAACGTTTTCCGTACCTGGCAAGCCTCGTCTACGATAACGGTGTCGAAGCCCTTGCCTGAAAGGCTTACCGCCTCCACCATGGGTCCTGACCCACATCCGGAGAGCGTGGCGCACACAACCTGCAAGGGCGAGGGGCGTGCAGGGTGGCTACAACGGCTCGCCAAAGACAGCGGCAAAATGGAAATAAGCGTGAGAATGTCGCCGAAGGGAGATGGGCAAGCCCGTTGCTTCAAACGGTCGACAAATCGTCCGCCGTGCTGCTGCCCCTCTGTGGCCTCTAACATCGCCAAACACAGAAATGCCTTCCTCACACGGCTTTCTACGCCATCACACGCTGGTGCTGGTGCTGCTACCGCTGCTGCTGGGGCTCCCGCTCTGCGGCCTTTCCAACGTTCGTTTCGGCCCTCGCCGTCCACGCGATCGACCACGCTCAACCAAGCCTTGCCTGGGCGTTGCTCACGAGCGAGCGCCTGATCTTGCCGCGCTCGACGTCGAGGCTCCTGAGGGCATCCCTGCGCCGCTGCTTGGCCACCAGAAGCTCCCCGCGAAGACGCCGGATGTGGGTGTTAAGCTGGTGACGTCTGGGGGCGCCAGCCGCGAGGTAAACCAAACAAAACAGGAACAACGCGGTGTGTGTGTGTGTGTTTGTGTGTGTGTGTGTGTGTGTGTGTGTGTGTGTGTGTGTGTGATTGCTTCGACCACGGCAAGTTGGCGAAATATTTGAAACGGTGTACATGCTGGTACAATATTGCTCCGGCCGAAATGTAGGTATGAAGGGTTCGCAGTCCACTTGCGGGTGTCTACGGGAGTTTGCCCTAGCTCCCGCAGCGTCGCCGTCCGCATTACAAAGCGTGGCAGGCGCGAGCGCGCACCCACACCAACAAACTAATTTCACCGCACACGCATTGTTCACCATCCGCTCGTATCGCCAAGGAAGCCAAAGCGCTGCCGTGATGCCGGCGTCCCGTTCGATTGGAAGCAGAGGATCGATCGTTGTGATGCCAACGGGCATGGAGAGCGGTGGTTGGTGCGGCCCCTGCTTGCAGCCGACTACATATGCTCAAGGCGAAGCACAAGAAACGTGCTTCATGCTAAAAATTGATTGAGCACACCAGTTTTAGATTAGCCTGACACTCGCAATGCTCTCTTTCCCTGTCTCTCTAGGCTAAACATATCGGTGCTAGTTGCCGAGATACCCATCCTTTCGCTTCGAAAACAACAACTGGTACCCAACGTCACCTGTTCTCTGCGCTTCCGATTCCAGCCATACCGCCAACCTCGCCGACGTCGCCGCTCCTCACGGCACGTCCGGCCTCGTCGATACGAGCGTGGGTTTCTCTGATCTTCGTCTCGGCATTTCTCGCCTCGGCGCTCTTGGCGTGGAGCTTCACTCTGCTCAGGGCAAGAACACGGTGCGGACACACCGACAGACCAGATGTTAGCGGGTTGTGTTCATGCACGAGTCATTCTACTCAGGTTCACGAGCGGTGCAGGTGCAGACACGCAAACATTTCAGATATTAGCGTGTACCTCCACGCGTCACTCTCCTCAGCACAAGGCCGGTGGAGACAAATAGACCGGATGTTGGCATGCGTGTGCATGCACACGTCACTGTGCTCAGGCAAGAACAGTGCAGACACACAGACCAGATGTTAGCGTGCGTGTGTATGCACACGTCCGGGGGGGTGTGGATCGCATGAGGAAGCGCCGTCGAGGGGGAACTTTACTTCGCGTGCGGATGGTCGAATGACTTGTCTGCTGGTTTGGATTGGGCAAGGAAACAGGCAGGCAGCAGGACAGCAAGGTCTATCTCATATTTGAGACAAAATAAGGGAGGGAAACAGCGTCCGAGGCGTATGGCGACTCCTCTCTTTCCCTCTTGCAGACTAGATCGACCATGAGCCTGAGACCCGACCCGTTTCTGTCATGCTTGTGCACTGAGTCGTCGAAGCTACAACCACCAACGACGACGACACAAACAACATTACAACAACAACAACAACAACAACAACAACAACAACAACAGCCGGTCACCTCTCTTCTACCATGAACTCAAGAGACACGGCCTTGACCCGATCCGCCGCGTCTTCCGAGGGCTTTCCCAGGCGAACCACCCTCGGCGCAGTAGCATTCCCGCGCTGGTCCCAAACTCCGCCCGATTCCAGAGCCAGCCGTTGGGCGAGTTCGTCCACAGCACCGTTGCTAGGGGCGCACACGAGTACCTGCGCAGTCCGGAGTTGGGTCGGGGGTCAAGAAACAGGGCGACAGCTGTACCAATTTCAACCACGAACACACGCGTCAACAACAACGACAGCAGCAACCGTGGGAGCAGGAAAAAGCCTACAACGACAAATACAGCATAATGCGCTTAGAGAGGAATGGGTCTTATGCTGAACACTCGGGAGGTCCCGGCGGGGGGGCGGTCGGAAGCGACACAGTTGACGTCGGATGTACAACAAGGTCTGAGTGGGCCCTCAATTGTCCTGTTTCTACACACGACAAGCAAGTCGAGATCTGCACGGAAACCGCACATGCCAAGAGCCTGGCACAACCAGAACGCCGAGCACGCAATAGGAACGCCGCCGCTCTTCAGCGATCCCTCACTCACCCGTTGGTGCGTCTTCGCCGCAACCCACCTACCCGCCACCCCGGGCCGCTTCTGGCGCGCCTCAGGCGCCAGCGTGGTGCCCATACCTCGAGCGCTCGCTCCGCTACGCCCGCCACCGCTAGCACAATCTTTCTCCTCGCGGCGGGCAAGGATGGCGCTCACGACCCCGAGAACGGTGCGGGTCTTACCGGTGCCCGGGGGCCCCTGCAACAGCACCACACCCCCCTTCGACCCTCCTCCTCGCGCTCCGCCTTCCCTTCGATTCGCTGTCGCCGCCGCCGCGTGGTTGACCGGAGCGCGCCTCTCAGCCAGCACCGCCGTTTCAGGAGTCGCCGGTCCATCGTTCCCTCTAGCGGCTGCCGCGAGATCCTCGTGGGCTTCGCGCGCGCTCGCCGCGGCCGCCCATATTGCCCTCAGCTGAGAAACGTTGAACTCTTGCGAAAGCCGGTCCCAAAGAGCTGCGGGTACCAGGCTCGGCCGTTTGGGCGTCTGCTGCTGCTCCTTCTGTTGCTTCTCCGGAGGGCAGGTGACTTTCGGAGAAAAGTCGGAACTGGATGAACCAGCGTCAGGCATCGGTGCTGGGGATTTGTGTCCCGAGCTTGATATGCCCTGCTGCTCGTCATTCTCCTCCTCCTCCTGCTCTTTCTCTCCCACTAGCCTCGGCTTTGTCGAGGCCGCCGGCCGGACGCGATCAACGATTTGTTCAGCCCCAACTTTAGCCTTGGCTCCACCTTCACTGCTACCAGCACCACCGCCACCACTGCCAGCACCACCACGCTCCTCGTCTTGTGACCTCTTTGTCGCCGCCTTGGAATAAGCGGTCGCGCCGCCGCCCACGTCAACCACCCCTCTCCACGCCCGGAGGAGACGAGCGGCAGCGTTGCGGACGTCAGGGCCCCACACCTCCGACTTGGAGAGGCGCTTGAGGCGCTTGGCGGTGCCACGGCCGTGAGAGGTGAGGAGTTCCGGGGCAACCCTGTTAGCGGGGGGGTGGGGGTTGAGAAGGGGGGG